GAGTCAAGTGGACCATTTCTTACAAGCAGTCTAATAAAAGCCCCCTGGAGTCGCAAGGAAAGCATCCCAGGGAATTCCCTCGAGGTCCTGCCTTTGCTAATCATTAGGGCTGATCACAGATATTCCACCTCTCTTCCTTCTGAGGCCAGCCTGGGGTCCCAGCTCCTTGTTCCCCTCGGAAGAAAAGTGTGATCTGTGACTTGTGTTGGCCAATGAGGTGTGAGGGAGATCCCCTGGGGGTTACTAGTGACAGGAATGTTAAGAAGCAGCACATGATTTGATGCCTCAGTGGAAGCATTCCTTGAGATGGCATGTCTACCGGCTGAGCAGAATATAAATGTTTGTGGTGTCCGGGCATTAGAACAGGGGGTGACTTGTTACTTCGGCATAAGCCAGTCACTTTTGATGGCTCTGTTCCTGTCTCCAGTTGGCAATGTCCAATTTCTGATTCAGCCCAACCCTTCAGTTCCCCCTTAGGACCACACACCGCACCCGAGTTACATCAACATGAAGCTGTCCCTGGCTCGTGGGTTAAGACTGATACTTGCTGCTGCCAAGTCGGTAGTGACCGAGCTCGCGAGGCCCTGGCGCTGTTGGGGCCTGGGCAGCAAGTGCCATTGCCCCCGGTGCCGGCATCTAAGCACCAGTCTTCCGTTTCAGCTGGGCCATTCACTCTCGCCATCGGCTCGCACCTCCGGAGCCCTCCCAGGTATCAGAGCAGAACTCGGCTCTCTGGGCTTCTCACTGGCTGAGGTCTCAGGCCTCCATCCAAGTTGCCTCCAGGTGAACTCCCCGGTCGCCCCCACCCCTCTGGTTAGCAGTTGAGCACGTCAATGGTACACACTACCCAGGGACTCGGTCCTACCCTGAGCCACCCAATCCTTTATGGCCCGAGCCATCCAGCCGTGATAGTGGCCCAGATGGCGATAACAGGCCTTACCCATCACGGTCCTGGAGAAACAGGGATGCACGGCCACCCTGTTTCTGGCTGCATGGCCTTTACAATAACGGGGCCAGGGCTATGAGAAACATTCCCAGAGGCATTATCCAAAGCTAGGTCACCCAATCCAGGAAATGCGATTTAAGGCCTAAGAAGAACCATCTGGTCAAATGAATGTGTTTGTCAGCGAGTGTATTCTGCTTTTACTATTCTGTGTGGCATGGGACTGAGGGAGCGCAGCTGTTTTCCTCAGCAGGCACATGCGAGCAGCAATAGCCATCCAAACAAAACCAAGAGCCCCGTGCAAACTGCAGCCGTGAAGTATGAACACCCACAGCCACAGTCCCAGGGTCTGCCTCCTGCTGGGTCAGCTGGGAGTCATTTAGGAGGAAGGAGGTCACATCAAGAAAACAACATTAGCAGGGGTGGGCTTGGGGTGGGGTGGCAGCGGTGGACAACACATTTAAACAAAGCCGATGCAAATGCAACCCCAGTGACCTGGCCCCTCCTCTCCTTCTAGGCATGTGCGACATATTAATGTCAGTGAAAACATTTCAAAGAATTCTGTGTCTTCCACATAAAGGAATACATTATCAAAGGGCATTGGTTTATCTAATCTGCTGCTGATATGCAATTTCCTTTACTGTGGAAAACTCCAGGATTTTAATTAGCTCATTAAAAATCTCCGTGCCTAATGATCAAGAAGCATGCAGATACGGATTTTTTTGTAGAGGAATCTGCTTATCAGTCTATTCCAGCTCCCGGACCTCCTCCTCATGTGATATGGGTTCCCCACCAAGGGCTTTGCCACGTGACCTGAGGAAGCTCCTGGTCCCCCATGCCCCAGCTGTCCAAGGAGAGGCATATAAACCAGACAGGCCCTCTGTGGCGCTCTGCCGAGATCGACACGGGTGATAGGTGAAAGAGAATCTCTCCCACCAGGATTGAGAGCCACGTAAGCTTCCAGCCTGCCTGAAATCAAGGCAAGCGGAACCACGACATGGAGAAATGCAGAGAAAGACAGGGCCCCGACGTTGCTGGACGCTTGGAATGCAGCCATTTCTGAAGCCAATTCTACTTCTTGGACTTCCCAGCAATATGACCAAACATACATCTTGTTAAAATGCATTCAAGGTGAATTTCTGTCATTTATAACCAAGAATCTTAATGTAACTATTACAGCCACCAAAGAATATAGCAGAGTATAATGGGAACTCCAATATCAAACTCCAAACCAAACCTCCTGCCATTGAGCAATTCAGACCTGCGGTGACCCTACAGGACAGAGGAAACTGCCCCATTGGATTTCTGAAGATGCAAATCAATATGGGAACAGAAAGTCTTACCCTCTCCCTCCTAGTGGCAAGTGGAGTTGAACTGCTAACCTTGCAATGAACAGCCCAATGCATAATCCTCTTTGTTACCAGGGTTGCTGAGCTTCCCAAAATTGGGGGTGACAAGAAAGGGTGAGGTACATATAAAGAAGGCTGGCTGTGAGCTGGTAACTACCGAAATTAACTGGTATATGGGGGCTTACAACATTATCTCAATTTGAAATCTTCTAAAATTAAAAGAAACTGCTTCTAACTTTCTCCCAGGTCCCAAACTTACAGTCCAGCACCCATCAAGGCCAACAAACAAAGCAACAGAAAAGGTAGACTCACACAGAAACCAGGCATTCACAGCAGACATCCACAGGGAATATTTGTGATACATGAACATGAGCCCAAACATATGTAAAGGGCTTTTGATATTAAACTAGCATCTACCACGGCTCCACAGGAGGTCTTAGATGACCACCCTTAGCCACCCCGAGAGGGTTCCGCCAGGTAGCGGCAGCTCCCAGGGAAACCATGATGGTGTGCACTGCGGGGAGGGGCTTCCTTTGTCCAGGGTGTGGCTCTGACAAGCGTCCCCTCTTCTCTCCACGTTTCCTAACATGTACCGTGGTTCTGAGTGAGGACGGCCTGATCCGGTCCTACAGGAAGGCCACCGTCATCACTTCTCCTCTTGGATGAAGAGTTCTCAACCCCAGATGCCCATTCGAATCTTTAAAACGCCCACGGGATCTTGAAAAGAAATCCTGATGTCCAGGCTTTCTTCCAGGCTCGCTCCATCCCATAGCGACCTCCCGGAGGTTCCTGAGACTGTAACCTTTCACAGGAGGAGAAAGCGCAGTCTATCTCCCTCGGGGCTGCTGGTGGTCTGTAACTTTAGGCCACGGGGCTCACAGTCCAATGCGTACACCCTACACCACCGGCAGTGAGTTTCATGTTTTTGGAGTTACAGCTCAATCTCTGGGGGTAGGGCTCAGGCATTTTCATTCTTAAAAGTTCCCAGTGATTCTAAACAGGACTAAGAACCATGACCTTGGAGACACCTAGCACTGTGAGCCTCACTTTGGATATGTGCTCTACCTCTCCAGCTCTCTCCTGCTAGGGGTCAGAACCAACCACGCTTCCTGATCTACCCGGAGGGGTAGATGCTATTGAATCTAAAGCCTGCCTGGTACCTCTTCCACGCTCCAAGTAAGTAGATCAGGAGGGTTTGGTCTGCTTTAAAATGCAAGGAAGCCCTAGCTCATTGAAAGCCTAATTCTTTTTTTTTACTCTAGATTGTGCAATCATTTTCGACTTATAGAAGCTACAAAGATAGAACAGAAAGTTTCTATATATCTTTTTCTCAGCTTCCTCTAATGTTAACACCGTCTTAAGAATATGCCAACGATGGCATCCTCACAAACCCTAAGAAAGGGACACTGCTACAACGCCAGGGAGCTTCAAAATGTTCGTGGTGTGTGGCACTGATAGGAAATAAAATGGAAATTTCCCACAAACTTTACAAAGCCCCCTCTTGCTATTAAGTAAACTACAGCTTCAGGGAGAGCTCCCTACGCAGTCTGCTCATGGTCTTTTCTGTTCCACGGTCCACATGGGGATAGCACCTTGCATTTAGCAGAATGCTTTCCGGAATGAAACCGTGTCTGAATCAAGCACCAGCCCCGAGAATCCAAGCTCCCCTCCCAGTGTCGTGCCCTGGCTCACCCCCCAGCTGCTGGTCCACCCTCACGTGTGCATTCAACCCACTCTGTGCTCCACCGATCATCTTTCCTGCTTAGCCAGGGGAGTTCTTCCAACTGTGGGCTCCTGGGACCCGTTGGAGAGGAGAATTAAAAGTGGAATTTTTCTCCCTGGAGAAAAACGCACAGACAAAGCGTTCTCCTTTCAGGGCAGACAGCGGACACTTCTCCACATGCCCCCACCGGTCCCCAAAGCTTCTGCCTTCCATAGGGTGGCTTCCCCTGACACTGACTCTGGAATGAAACCAGCACAAGGCAGTCCCTGCAGATCCTGCCTCAAATGACAGTGCCCTCCCCTCTGGGCTGTGTCCCACAGCAGCTGTCTCAACCATTGTCCTGGGTTGGGGAAACCCCCTGGTCCAGCTGGCCAGGCTGAGTTCTTCCGTTGGGTACTGAAGGCAGCTGGACACTTCTCTTTCCCACCAGCTCAGCTGCTACCGAGTGCCCCTGAGACATTTGGCTTGGCCCGTCAACCCTCCAGGGGCCCCTGCTCTGGGATGGAATGAGCCATCTTAGACACTTCTCAGTCACAAAGCCATGTAACCACCTGAGCTGCCACAGAGACACGTGACTCCAATCCCCAGAGCAGGCTGGACAAGCTCCGAGACCTCCTGTCCTTTCAAACCGGCAGAGACCCAGGTGCCCTCCTTCTTGCTTGCTCCTGAGGGCCATGCCTGCCTAGAAGCTTCATCTTTGGAACCAGCCTGTCAGGGTCCCAACACTCTCTATGCTTCATCCACGTGACTCCGTGCCGAGAACCGTCCAGGTTAACACTGCAGCTATGTTACCTTCAGGACGGCCCGACCCCCTTCCCTGTGACCAGGCCTTCTTCTCAGGAGCACATCAATTGCTCCTGTACCACCCGGAAGTGACAGGGTCAGAGGAGAGACAAAGAATTCCTATGGACAGAGAGCCGAGTGGAGTCTTACCTTCCGCAAATGGTTCCCACTCATAAAAGCGTCCCATGAACGGCTTGTTGTTATAGGATGCACACTGCACCTCTCGGATACTTCGGCTGCTTTCTGGACATACCTAAGCAAAAATTGAACATGCCATTAGCAACCCACAACATTGTGTGGCCTCAGAATACCTGTCCGACTTTCAATACCAGTGCTCTGGTGGTGCCCGTGCTTAATTCCCACAGCAGGCTCGGCATAATTTATGGTACAAGCCCACCCACAAGCATCTCAGAAGAAAGACCTGGCTCTCTAGGATCCTCGAATCAGCCACTGAACAACCCTGCCGAGGACAGTTCTACTCTGACACACCTGAGGCCATCAGGAGCTAGGATGAACTTGACAGTCATGGGTTTGTCGGATGATGTTTTGTTTTTCGTTCTCTACCTAAACCAAGGTTTCTAAAACCCGTCCAATCAGAGCATCAAACACTTCAAATGCAGATTCCCCGGCTTCAGCTCAAGTTTAGGAACTGTTGGAGGAAACTGAATTTTAAACAAGCTCTTCCCAGTTTTTTTCTTTGGATATCACAACTGGAAAATTATTGACTTAAATCTTTTGTCCCTGACCAACTGGCCTGCCCAGTCTCACTCCAAGAGGCCATTGCTTTCTATCTGTTTGATTTCTGCTCATGCTATGCCCCTTCCTTTGGAATAACATTCACAGGAAAAACATGCCGATTTTTAACAGGTGCCAGGCAGTTTGAAACACTCTGCGCATATAATTTATTTAACCCTCATGAGAATTGATGAGGCAAATATTAGTCTTGATTTTTTTGCAGATGAGGAAACTGAGGCATGGAAGAGCAGCTACACAAGTGCTCAGCACAGAGCCAGAGGAAGACACGTGTGGGCAGGCCTTATACACAGCTAACCTGTGGTGCCCCTCTTCTGCCTACAGATGCATTGGAATGGAGCATGTGAACTGTGTGTTTGTGGGTGTGAGTGCATGTGTGTGTGTCTTAGCTATCTTTTCAAATGCCACTAGATTCATGATGAAATGTAAAAGGGACACTTAATATATTAGCAGAATAAGATGAACTGGGTCACATATTGTTTAGCTGACGTGGGGCACTAATACATTTGCTGGATACTACATTTTCCACAGAAAGAATACTTTGCATATTCTATGCCAGGAAAATGAGTCCATGAACATCGTTGTTTCAGCAATTGGAGTAAAATGATATTGATATCCCACCACATACCAATTGACTTTCCCAATCTCCTTGAAATGGCTCATACTGGCATCGTGATCGGTGCTTCGTAGCCGATGGTGCAATTACAAACGAACAAAGGGGCACGATGGAGCGCTGCATCCTGCCCGACAAACCCGCTCGATATACAAATTTAAAAATCAAACTTGCTGGATACATAAGTGAAAGCTTTTGTGTTAGATAAATATTAATCCTTCCAGCCTTACTGTATGTTGTCCTTCTTTTAGCATTAGGCTAAATTATCACCCCCTGTTGGCATTATAGTAAACGTATGCTAGACTGCATCTGTGTGGACATGCAACATGTTTTCAACCGAAAGTCACATATATTACTATTTACACCACCTCGGAACATAACTCTGCACACAAAGGCTATGCAGCACAGCTGAAAAGTAACTTGATTGAATTCATTGCCATGGTCAGCTGAACCATGTTCCCTCACACCCGGCCCCGGGCTGCTTACCAGGACATGCACCAGAGCCTGCCCTTCGGTTTGTCGCATGGCCAAGAGCACTGCTGGCTCTCTCAGCCGGAGCTGCTGGATCCGCTGCACAGGTATACAAGGTGGTTCTGTCAAGATGGACCAGCGGCCTGGCATCAATTAATATAGAACCACCTTGCCTCGCAGCTGTTCTTGTTGGACCCACTTACAGGCCGAGAACGCAGCAAACGTTAGACTTGACAGCCCATCCCCAGCTCCTGCTTCTTAGAAAGAAACAAGATCTTCCCACAAGATTTATAGAGAGAAGGCGTTTCAGTTATACAGTAGGGAAAGATGTCAACACAGGTGTTGAGTTGGTAGGGGCCACATAGCTTAAACTTTACATGTGGGTGCCCTTGTGCTGTATATGGTTTGCAGCCAGCACATTCTCCTGCACTGGAATTGATACCAGTTTCATTTAGTGCTTTGCCAGCTCGTGGCCACCACGGGGCTCCTCTGCTTGCCCTCTCTGGGTCTGTATGTGAATAACTGGTGCCTCTCTATTTTGATGCCCTAACTCCATGCAACCTTGCCTAGTGGAGAGTCTGTCAGAGTTAGCAACACCGTCTAGGCTGAAGCCTGAGTCATCGGTGGCACCTGGACATCTCCCTGTGTCTTCCCATCCTTCCAAGATCCACCATCTAAAGGAGGAGTTCCCAACAACTATTGTGCCCACCCCGCAAAAAATCACTCAGGGATCTTATTGGAAATACAAACTCCAGGATCCCACTTCCAAAGATCACTATCCAGTAGATCTGGGATGAGAGCCAAGAATCTGCAGTTTGTCAAATGATCCAGGTGCTTCTGATTGTAAATATCCGGCCCCTCTGGTCCCTTTCTTTCTGATTGATAAGGCGTAATCGTGAGCAAAGCCTGAAGTGGAACAGGAAGATCAGACTGTAATTCAAAATGACCACAGCACTGTGTGTGTGTGTGTGTGTGTGTGTGTG